TGTCTCGCTGCCACTTACTTCCGTGTTTTGCTATCCCATGATGCACGAGGAGTTGGCGCGAATTTTGAATGAACAGGGTCTGCTCTGACGCTTGTACTTTGGACACATTTTCTGGTTTAGACGAGCAGCTGCTAAAGTTTGTTACATTATGGTGAGTGACGCGGGCTATACATCATATCCATCCATCCATCCATCCATCCATCCATCTATCCACCCATCCATCAAATTGCAAAGCATTAACATTATTTTGTCGATGATAACTCAACTTGAAACATTTACTGAACGATGAAGGAGACAGATTGTTGACTTCATGTCTTTTATTGCTCTTTATCGCAGTAATTCAGCCTCCTGCAGGGCGATTAACATGAGTTCTAGCCTTTCTTTTATTTTATGCATTCATGCAGCTAGGCTTCATATCTTATCCTTTTTAGAAATGCTTCGAATTTGCTGCTATATCGCCGTGTGATAATCAAGCACATTATATGTATGACAACTTTGCTCAGCAATATATATGAAAGATATAATTGGTTTAAAATGCTGTATACATAATCAAACATTTACTTGGCTGTCTCTGCATGCTGTGTGGTATATCATGATGGCATGAGAATATATTCTTTTAGAAGTATAGTATGGCCACATGTAAAAATGCCAAGTTAGTCCCATCCCTGCATCATGTTGAGTATGAGAAGCGTCACAACCACGCCACCTAGCGACAGCATGCTCCAGTGGCGGGCAGCACCGTTATCTGTAGGACAAAACGTAACTTACATCGTAAAACACAGTTTTTATGGAGGAAAATGTATTTAGGTTTCAGAAAGCAACCGAGGAGGCGAAGTATTAAAGAAGTATAATACGACATATCACACACATGGGTATTTTTGTTTCTTCTAGATCTACGTATACTCACTTCCGCGTTCCACCCGCAGCATCTGTAGCCTAAACCACCACTAAACGGTGTACTACTAGCCAGGTACGTTTCTACTGAATTGTGTATACCTACTCGTATACATGTTTATGTACACTTACCTCCACTACACTGGACCGGTGGGAATGTAGTATTGGACGAACCACCTGAAACACCGTACCATTGAAAGGAAGTTTTCAATATGAAAAAGTCGTCAGATGTAAAACACCCAGCCAGTAATGTTAACATCAGATTTATACACCTAACTTTCTTATATATGTGTCACGACAACGATATTGTTATGGGCATAGTTTATCGACGTCAATCAAAATGACACGCCAAATAAATACAATCCTTGATTCATGTCAGACGAATTAACCAATCATAGACCATATAGTTATGCAGGATTTCTACACTGTGAATGAAATGTGCATCGCACGAATTAAGTCAGTAGTTAATTATAGTTATGCATGTTCTACATATTAGAATCATTCGTTTCTCCGTGCCAATGAGCTGTTTAAAAATTCTAAGAAGGCTTAGCTAACAATTGGTATTTACTCGTACCTCCGCCGGCATTGCCAGGGTTACCTGGAAACGACAAGGGGTAGATAGGTATTGGTTTGGCTCATGATTAGGGTTTCTTTCTACCAACAGTATGGCGTGGTTATGTTCACAGAGCGTATGTACAAGAATTACCATATGACTTGGGTGATAAAATATTTCATCACGACGCAACAGAGTTGAAGTGAAGTCTATAAGTTAGAAGATTCACATATAGCACATACTTGCCGTTAACACTTGTGTCAGCTGTTATGTGTTTTAAAAAGTCCATCAAGAAAGTAGCTTTTGCACCATGAACAATCCCTTGTAACGTTAGGGTATATATTTACCGCACAGCTTGTCAGAACAGTTGTTGTTGCCGTTCGCACACTGGGTGCAGGATGTGCCACTGACGTAGGGCTTCTGTCCCCTGAAGTTACCCCTGTAGACAATATGAATATAGGCCAATTGGAAACTCAACACTATACTAATTCCGGGAAATATACATGTATATAGAAACTGTACAAAATGCCTATCCTTTGTCCGCAATAATAGCGAAGTATGAATGCAAAGATTAACACTTCTAAAAGGCAGATACAGTAAGCGGACTACAAATAGATACTGTCTATATATATAAGCCCGCTAACTTACGCTGGAGCGTAGTTGCAGACCACCAGATTGGCGTTGTTCCAGTTGACGGTAGCCAGAGTAGAGCAGAGCTTCATGCCACATCCGAGCTTGTTACTGGAGGCCCACACAACCTGGTGGGAGGTAAATATGAACAATCGTGGTCAGAAAGAAATATTTGTATGTACAATGTTGACTAGATGGAATACGCGCACACGCACGTACGCACGCACGCGCACGCACGCCATTACTATGTATTTAGCAGCCTAGAATCATAATAAAGTTTGACATCGTACATATCCTTACCTGTGTGTAATGTCCGCAGACCTCGCCAGACTTACACGAGTTGCTGCTGTAGGTGTAGTCACACACTTCCTTGTTCCACTTCTCGGTTTCCTTGCCAGCATTGTAGCTGTCAGTTTCATTTGTGTGGCCGTACAGATTGAGAATGAACAAATAGCATGTCATCTGCAGCTGATATAAAATTCTTAGACGGTACTTTAGTTCAGTTTGCTTACTTGTCTAACTGTTCTCAGATTATTTACATTTGCGCCTTTGTAAATACTCAAATCTTACGTGTAACATCACTAGTTCAATAGAGGCTGCTCAGGACTCTTGAGCTCTCTAGCTGGCCAGTTCTGGCTGTAACGCTATTTTTGCCGCCAGACATCTGCTTGGCGATTTCTACTGGTGAGATTCTTGTTAAATAGCATCATGAAATCTTTTATAATATCGTAACTCAAGGCTAACATGATGAACAGGATCAAACTGTATTTGTACAGGTTAAACTATTGATGGAAGGACCACTTGGCGTGGATCCGGCACACATATATACATGTAGTTACAAACCTTCCGGTGCTGGCGTAGATGTTCTCCCCTACCGACGACCCGGAGTAAGTGGCCTCGGGACTGGGGTTGTGTGCGAAGTCACAGCCGTCCGCCCAGCTCTGAGCTATGGTCGCCAGACTATCGTCCCACTCCTGATAAGGACAGGTATACGGCACAAATATATAGGATTGATCATGCATGGCGGTACCAGTTTTCTTATGCTAGCAACGATGTAATAATGATGATAGTCAGAGTGATAATAGTTTAATATCAACTCGTTGAGATGAGGTCTTACTTGCAATGCACTTCACACTGCATATAATAGAGATCACCACTCTTTTGGAACACGTGTACCATGCATTGTTGTGCGGCGACCTTGTACTTTGTTTGGTGCGTGCGAACAACAAATTTGACGATGTCATACGTGACAAGCCTCAATCATGTTGCCAACTTATAACACAGCCTTCATGCCCCTCGTATATCTTAAAACACAATGCCGTTTGTCTCATGCCTGCAACATAATGTCGCTGTACCATATCACCCATCTTGATGAGCGGTAGATGCAGTAGGGCTAAACGCTTAACGGTAGATTTTATTTTCGTACCACGTGCGCGATGTTTGCGGTTTTAAAGGCCCTGTCTCTTTAAACTGACTAATCATACACGTCCTTTTTTCTTTACGAGGTGTTATCTTTGGGAAACATGCGGCGGGTGATGTTTCCCGCTGTTCACATGTTGAGGAGTTGTGACTAGTTCATGTAGAGAACAGACTTTTGTTTTAGCACAACAACACTTCCGTAGACCACAATGTGGTCCAAATGTGGTCTACAAATACATCAATTACAACTTACAACTCTGTGGTGTATACGCTATGCTTTAACGGTGCGCACTCGAGAGGCGATGAAATCATATTCCGTTGTATATTTGTCACATCTCCCATAACGTTATACATACCTACAAGTATTAAGCAGGCAGCCGCAGTCAGTTATGTTTTCCACGACACGTCCTTCCTTTTCCAAACAGTCCCCGACAACATAATCACTTCGATATTTTCCATGACTATTCTTCAAAGACCAGTCGTACTATATGTCTTTTTGTCATATGTTGGATCGTGTTCCTCTCAGATGTCTTCTTTTCTTACACCGTGAACTGCTATGCTGATGTTACAGGGAGATATTTTAGTATTAAATGAATGGTTAGCTCATCTTTGATTCAACCAAACCTTCAATATGCTGGGTTTATCTTTAGTGAGTACACCGTTGAGAAAAAACGACGGTAGACAATAGAATACCTCACCATGTACTCCATGTTGGCAGCTGTGGGGCTGACGGCTGACCTGTAGTTGTTGTGGGCCTGTAAGATCGTGTTGATCTGATCCTGTGACAGAGAGGTGGCTCCAAAGCTGCCTCCCACAAACAGCAGAATCGTGGCTACACTCAGGACCTGCATGTTTTCTTCCCTGGTGCGGCGAATGTCTGTGTTCTATCCTTCCGACAGAGGCGCGGTAGTATGTACTGATACTCCCTTCGTCACATCACACGAAATGACACGTAGCATGCACCAAGGAGCTTGATGTTTAAGCTAATTGGATGCACGTAGTCCTTTGTTATCAGAACACTCCTGATTCCCTAACCTGTCGTGAGTTGAACAATGGGGAAGGCGTGGTGGTGATGGCACGCCCCTCTGAGGAATCCAGGGGACAGTTTCAATAGTTTTTTTATGTATACCAAGGAGAATATTTAGATACCCTGTGTATACACACGTCAAACTATAAAAACATGTTGATTGTTTTGATTAAGCCATATCTGTTTCAGTTTTCTGAAACAAGGATGAAATGTCTTGGTGTTGTCTTAGTTGACATCCAAAATTTCTATGCGCAAACAGATCGTTCTTCTTTACTGGTCATTAACTATTCATAGAGCTAATTGTCGTTCTTGATGAAGTTGACAGGATGAGATAGGATAACGACTATACTGATCTCATATCGGCCATAATACGGGGTAACCGTACCAACGTTTGCCATGCATGAAAATATACAATTAAGTATACACACGCATATATCACTATTAGTTCTGTATCTCAGTTTTGAAAGCAAAATCAACTAAAATACTAGAAAGGCCAATATTTGCTTTGGAGCAAATATAGCGATGGGTTCACCACATTTTACGACATGGCAGGGAAAGAATGAGAAACACTAGAAAGGCCAACATTTGCTTCGGAGCAAATGTAGGAATTTCACTCCATACCCTTCCCCAAACAAAAATGAGAGATTCTAAATAAATCATACTGCAATTATACAAGGACAAGCTGTTTGAATCTCGACAGGTATTTACAAAACTGGCACTTGGCAATTATCTCCCTTTTTTTTTTACAAAGATACAACGACACGCACTTTAAATCTCGACAGCTTTACTTTACACTTTTGACGAGATTGTAACTACTACTAACGGAAGCAAAATTTTCACGGCCTGAGAAAAATGGACATGTTCACGGAAGTATATATTCACGGTGGTGACAGTTGCAGGAAAAAGAAAGTCCGGGAATTATTTCCTAACTGTAATGATAAGTTCACAATACAGAGGTGACAGTGAAAACCGTGAACATTGACCCCCCGCTTGCGTTGCGGTACAGTGAAAAAAAATCGGGAATTACAGCAATCAATTTACTGAGTATGTTTGCTTAGTTTCCAGATGTTTTGTACTTGTAGTTTTTAAATGAACGAAAACCGATGCGCGCACAGATGTTACTTTTGTGACAACATCAAAGTGATTTTGGTTTGTATGTTGAAAAATACAAAAGACTAACATTCGAAGTTCTTGAAATTCTTGAGTAAGAACAATCAGTTTTGGAATGTTAAAAGCAAAGCAATGGATATTAAAACGAAAATGTTAAAATTAAATGTTGAAATTGTTAAAATGTAAAATGGTTAAAATGGTTAAAATTGTTGAAATTGTTAAAAATGTTAAAATTGTTAAAAATTGTAAAAAGGATAATTAAAAATATCCAGTGTACCGGGGTTCGAACTCGTAATGTCTGGACTTGCAGCCCTGCGCGTTACCAACCGAGCTATCTCGACACGTTTCCATTACTCTCTGCATTGTATGTCATATAAAGTGAACAACATGGCGGTAACGATCGCTTCAAGTACTAGTAAGGGACTTTCTAGGAGATAGCGTTACACTCTACAATTTTGGTGATTCTTCAGAAATCGATAACAGAATATATAATACTAGTCGGTGAAGATTGTGGAAAATTGTTGATACCGTGGCGCGCGCGCGTGCGCCGACGATACACATTACGTACCGTTGTTTACAGTACTCGCGGGGCGCAGGTCATTGACCTCCCGCTTGCGTTGTTCCAACAGAGAAGAGCAAAATATCTGCCAGTTTTTGCGTCAGATTTTCAGTGTTTGTTAAAATCATATACAGGCATCCATGCAGCTATAATTCTTCCAACTAGTTCGTAGTTAGGTGAAATGTTTATAGGAATCACACGAATCGGTATCCAATATCAGAGTATCATGGCCCACGGCCGAGACCGCGTGGACCAGCTGCGCTGGTACGTGAAAATGGTAGTAAATAAATTAATTAGCCAACAGCCAATCAACAGCCACATCTGCAAACATGACCACACCTGCTTGTATGCCCATATTTGGGCCTTCCCCCGAATTCCTTTCTTATTACGTCACGCGCGTACGCCACCACAGTACTTTCCTATGGGGACCACTAAAAAGCAAATAAAACGATTGTAAAAGCTTGTATCAAAAAAATTTAAAAAACGCCTAAGGGGATTTACCCACTCTACCTCTATACGAAATTACAGGTAATTTCGCCCAAAAATGAAGGAGTTGAATCAATTTAAAGAAGTGGCAGGAGAAGAAGGAGAAGGAGGAGAAGAAGAAACATCAGAAAAAGCAATATGGGTTCACCACCACTTCGTGGTGTGGTGAACCCATAATAAACGCCAATAGTCATAGAAAAGATTTGTAATGTTAGAATGTAAACTGTTTCGATTAAGATGTAACACGGCAATCGTGTAATAGCCATATTACTAGCTGGTATACATGTAACTGTATTCGATAGGTTCAAAGCATAAACATCACTTTGAACAGCCTGATTACTTTACATTACATTGAACGATGAAGTAGATAGAAAAGTAAATTTGCTGACTTCAGATATTTTAGAGCTGTTCACCACAGCTCAAGTCTTTGTTAAAGACAGTTTAATGATATCTTTACTGTGTAACTTAACATATCCTAATCCAAATATCTGCGCGTTTTACCCTTTCTATAAACAAACACCAATGACGAAGTAATAAAAAATGAAAAACACCATTTGAAAAAGAACGTGCCTAATGAGTTGTAGCCTTGCTCATATACATGCATGCTGTATACATATATTGCTGCTAAATTGTGATAATCAAATAATATGTATAACAACTATTTCTCAACAATATCTATGTAAGATATGATATTCCTACATCTTCTAGTATGTATACAAACTATGATATTTTTTGTGATACTAATGATATACATACATGTATATTCAAATATTTTCTTGATTGTCTCTGCGTGCGCGTGCTATAGTATATAGTACATGTATAAAGCGTTGCAAAGAGAATGTATTCTATTGGAACCGTTAATTTTACGGCCACATGTTAAAATGCCATGTTAGTCTCATCGTGTATGTGATCGACTGCTCTACAGCCGACCGATGATGATGATGATGATGATGATGATGAGTCTCATCCCTGCATCATGTTGAGTATGAGAAGCGTCACAACCACGCCACCTAGCGACAGCATGCTCGCGTGGCGGGCAGCACCGTTATCTGTAGGAAAAAAGCCAATACTTTTGAAGAAACTAACTTACATCGAAAAGACAGTTTTCACAAAGGAAAATGTATGCAGGTTTCAGGAAGCAGCCATATAGACTTTGTACAGGTATATGTATGATCATGGTACGACTTATTTGGCAATCATTATCAAATAAGTCGTCCTCGATCATAATGTCAGCCCTACAAATGGGTGAATCTAGTATGAATTTCCAGATGTCAAAACATCAATGAAGCTACGTAAAGGGGAATATCCTTATAGGAGTGAAATCGATCGTGATGCGGTATTTCTAGGTGAGGGGGCGCAGCTACTAGTGGTATGATGTGTCACATATGTACATATGTTTTCTTTTCTCTCCTAGATCTACTCACTTCAATCTTCCATCAGTACTTGAAGCCTAAACTTAACCATAAGTTAACCATAAGCCTAAACCATCACTTGAAGTGCCCTAGGTCCTGATCAAACTTACCTCCTCCGCCCTGGTTGGGGGTGGATGTAGTATTGGACGAACCACCTACAGCAACATTAAAAGGAAGTTATCAGTCATTAACAAGCTCAACAGAAGTAAAATATTCCCAGCCAGTAATGTTAATCTCAGATCAGTCAGATGCATACATCTTCTATTAAAGTATTTTTGTACTACGTTAACGATATTGTCATGGCATGATCATAGTTTATTGACGCTATCAGTCAAAATGATACTAGTACGTTAAGCAACTTACTATGCAGTCTTTGTTTCGTGCCAGACAAATTAAAGAAATATAAGAACTTGTAGTTATTTAAATCTAGAATGTCTCTCTTGTGAGTGACCACACCATGGCGTTGCACGAATTGGGTCAGTTGTGAAGGTTTTACCACCTAGATATACGTTAGAAACATTTTTTACAGGTTCCTCCGCTTCAAAGAGCTGTTTGAAAATTCTAACAATGCATAGCTTGCAGTCGGTACTTAATCGTACATACCTCCGTTGCCACTGGGAGAACCGGTGGCACCAGTGGCACTGGGAGAACCTGGAAACAAGAAACGGTCGACATGAATGTATGTACACGAATTATTATATAACTTGCTAGCATGCTGTGGATGATAGAAGTACATACCACGATACGTCAGACATAGAAGTCTATAAGTTAGAAGGCTAGGGAAGTCTATAACTTAGAAGTTTTGCAAAAAGGACATGCTGTCCGTTAACGTTTGTGCCAGTTTTTCAGTTTCTTTCCAAATTCTACCACAGATAGGGGGGCATAGTGCCCATCTAGACTTAGCTATTACACCATGACTGACACCTTAATACAGCACATATATAATTACCACACAGGTTGTCGGAACAGTTGTCGTTGCCGTTCGCACACTGGGTGCAGGATGTGCCACTAACGTAGGGCTTCTGTCCTCTGAAGTTACCCCTGTAGACAAAATACGGAGAACAAAATAAGTCAAAATCAAAAAATAGTTCCCGAATTATGTATCAACATATGCAGCATTAAAGAAACACCTATCATTTGTCCGTAATAATAGCGAAGTATGCAAACACAGATGTTTCACGTTCAATAGACAGATGCAATGCGGGCAACACTAATAGATACTGTCCATACAAGCCAACTGACTTACGCTGGAGCGTAGTTGCAGACCACCAGATTGGCGTTGTTCCAGTTGACGGTAGCCAGAGTAGAGCAGAGCTTCATGCCACACCCGAGCTTGTTACTGGAGGCCCACACAACCTGGTGGGAGGTAAATATGAACACGTACGTGTGCACAGGAAGGAATAGTTGTATGGTATGTACATCTTAACGCACATACACATACACAGACACACAGACAGACAGGCACACAGACACACACAGACACACACGCACACGCACATACACACACACGCACATACACACAGACACACGCGCACAGACTTTAATAACATACACTTTTGTTCCTTTCCATGCAACGTATTTGTCATTTCTATGCATTTAATCAGATGTTTTTGATGACTAAAGTATGGCATTGTATGTGTCCTTACTTGTGTGTAATGTCCGCAGACCCGGCCAGATGCACACGAGTTGCTGCTGTAGGTGTAGTCAGACACTTCACTGTTCCAATTCTCAGTTTCCTTGCCAGCATTGTAGCTGTGAAATGGCAAACATCAAATGATTATCATACATTTAATTGAAATAATTTCTTATAGCATAGAAGGTACTAAATAGGTCGACCTTTTTTATAGACCTACATTTGTGCTTTTGTTTAAACATAGCAAGTCTTATGTAACAAAATTTCCTACAATTTCTCCACTTAAGATTTACAAGGATCTGCGGTTGATGTAATACAAACTCTAGTTCCAGATAGCTAACTCTATAGGCCATATTATGATATGGTACTATTTGTGCAATTCTTCTTTAACAGTCATAAAATCTCTTCGATCTTGGAAACCTCGTCATTCAAGCCGAAAATGATGTACAGGATCAAGCAGTATTTGTACAGGTCGGAAGGACCACTTGTCATGATTTGTGAATCCACCACACATAGTTACAAACCTCCCCGTGCCGGCGTAGATGTTCTCCCCTACCGACGACCCGGAGTAAGTGGCCTCGGGACTGGGGTTGTGTGCGAAGTCACAGCCGTCCGCCCAGCTCTGAGCTATGGTCGCCAGACTATCGTCCCACTCCTGATAAGGACAGGTATACAGCATATCATGGCGGTGTTTTCTTCATGCTAGCAACGATGTATACGTAATAATGATGACAATCATTGTACGAGTGGTCAACTTGTACAATGATTGTGATGAGGTCCTACTTCACACGACATACAATAAAGATATCACCACTCTTCTGGAGCACGTGAACCATTGTTGCTGCGACCTTGTTCTTAAGAGTGCGTGCAAACAGCACATTTGACGACGTCATACGTGACAAGCTTCAATCATGTTGCCAGCTTCATGCATCCCGTATATTTTGTCAACACAATGCCTTGATATTGTCGTGACTCATCCCCGTAACGTTATTTAATTCTACAATATTACCCACATGAATTGCAGTGGATTATATTTTGAATTTATAGCGCAATATTATTTGTTTTAAACTACAACATGTACTAGTAATCTCCAAGCAGATCTTTGGTTGCTGTAAGGCAGCATCAAATTGGCCAGAACCGCAGAACGTATTATTTACTAGCCAGGCAGTATGTAATACGCCACCGAAAACAAAAACGCATAAAAAATATAACCTCCATGACGCGTAATAAGCCTAAGTCTAAGCCCTCCTTAGAGACTAGTTTTTGACCCCAAGCTTTGTTTTGAAATTATCGTTACAAACCGACTAACCATACACGTCAATGTCACTTCTTTACGAGATGTTATCTTTGGGAAACATGCGGCGGGTGATATTTCCCGCTGTTCACATGTTGAGGAGTTATATCGAGTTAATGTTGGGTGGGACTCTTCCTGTTTTACAACAACTTAACACTTCTGTAGACCACAATGTGTGGTCTGTAAAGTTAACAAACACATCAGTTACAACTCTGTGGTGGATATGTTGTGTTGTAACAATGCGGACTCGAGAAGAAATCATATATTCCATTGTATATATTTTTCATATGTTCTACATATAATGTTATACATGTTCCACGACACGCCCTTTCGCAGTCCCCTTAAGCTTTTCAAAACAGTTCCCGCAAATATGTTTACCTCTATATATATACCTCTATACGATATTTTTTTCGTACCATTCTTCTCACTTTGCTGGAAGGAACTCGTACTAAACGTCTTTATGTTACAAACTTGTCCCATGTGTCTTGTGTTATCACTTGGATATTACAGGGACGTAAATGAGTGGATAGGCCACTTTGTCGAGCTACCTTCAAGCAAATTGTCAAAATGCCGGGTTTATCTTTTAGCTTGATTGACAAGTTATAATTATTTGATAAGAATGTGTGTAGAAATACTTTGTAGAGGTTCCTTACATGAGTTGTATTAGAGTCGGGAGTTAGATATCAGTATAGACGATTTGTTAAGACTTTTCTACAAATTCTAGCTCCCAGTGTCCGAATTTCTCTAACATATTGTCCTCACAGGTGTTTTAGTACAGATTAGCATGGCCGTAAGGGTACGTTCAGCAAACAAACACCGATGTATAACGAGAGAATACCTCACCATGTACTCCATGTTGGCAGCTGTGGGGCTGACGGCTGACCTGTAGTTGTTGTGGGCCTGTAAGATCGTGTTGATCTGATCCTGTGACAGAGAGGTGGCTCCAAAGCTCCCTCCCACAAACAGCAGAATCGTGACTACACTCAGGGACTGCATGTTTTCTTCGCTTCTATGAGCGTCGTCTGGCCTCTGTGTTTTGCTTGGGTCACCTCTGTAATTGAAGAATCTGCTTTGTAAAAGTTCAGTTGTTATGAAACACCGTCAAGAAGACATATGTGGGATACTAAGGTGCGCCTCAGCTGGCAGCCGTCCACAAACTTTCCGTGTGGAAATGTCAGGAACATAGCCTGGTGTCCAGTCTATCTCGGCTCAGGGGATGGTATTCTTCGGGGCTGCAGAAGCTCTTCCCCGCCTGACTCAGCTAGGTTCCCCGGTAGGTTTTGCACGACGGGACTTCAAATAGATCTCGTGGCGATGCTAATCAACTCCAAGCATACAAAAGTGTATTACAGGCGTAACATTCCTGCCGGGCAACGCTAGCCAGTTTATCTAGATGGGGGAAAACTACACTGTATCGAGCTATTAAAGCCCCGAAGACAGCCTACCCCAAACACGATAGACTGGGCACCAGGCTATCAGGAACACTAATCCTGTCACAACATCACCACATGGAAGACTTGAGCACAGCGATGCTTACATATCCCCACAGAGCTCTCCTGGTCTGCAGGAAACTTGAGCCTCCATACCAGCATCATGTGTCCCTCAGACGCACGCTAACCAACCTTCGTGCTCACCTTTCTAACGATTGGAGGAGGATACGTGTTTGCATTTCTAAAGGTTCTACGCTTCCCATAATATATGCAATATATTACCTACAATATTGTCTTCACATCAAAACTAACCTGTAGCTCTGCCCAATGGAAGCGGCTGACCCGTGTTGTGTTGTGTTGTGTGTGAAAGAGAGATCGAGACTTGTCACACAATTTACTAACTAGGACGACTTCGTGACATCCCAACTAACGCATGCTGTGATCAGGGACCTTATATACAAGTAATTAAGTTGGTTGATTGCATGCAACTCAGACCACTGACCATTTGTCGCCGACAACCTAATCCCTATAACTACGACGTTGCCACTAGTAACACCAAAACAATGAATGTCTAAAAGGGCCTGATGGCGTTTCTGAGAATAAACAGATACTGTGCCTAATGGTTCGGATTCAATAGAACGTGACATGCAAAAGACAACAAAACAAATCACCAATTACTGCGTAATTAGTTTCCAGCAGGTTCTTTCGTTGCTTTGCTGGCTGTGCACTTGTTACGTTGTCTGTATGTGTAAAAATGTTGGAGCTGTTGTTTTGTATATACTCAAACGTTTGCGATAGTTTATGACACTTAGATGCCACACATGTGTCACGAATTGAATGTACTTGAATGAGTCATGGCTTGCTTTTGGCTACACACGTTTTATATTCTGGTGGAACGACATTCTCACAAGTTCACATCAATAAACAGTCAGCCGAAACTTTCCATTTGTACTTTGTCACTTAACAGGATCTAAGTTATCAACATAAGACCGAGGCACCACAGTCACACACATCCCACGATTTTTTGTTGCACGAATCTGACTTTCAGCTGTATCAAAACCGGCCACTGACAAGGACTTACGGCGGCTTTTCTGTCACAGTTTGTACGACATGTCTACAGTACATGTGGTGCGACTGTCCTAGAGCTGTCGTATGTGACGTATGTCACAGGTTTTTGCAATTGCATGTCGATAAAAAATAAGTTTCCACCATAAAAGCCCGGACACCCCGTGGAGACATAATGTTATACAAAAGTCATGTACTTACGTGTTGAGACGAGGAGGTTTACTATCGGTAACTTATTCCCTACTTTCCTCCTCACAGAGACGGTCGCCTGTTTGCACTGGTAGTTTGTTTGCACTGATGCTCACTTCGTCATGTGAGAAGACCGAGATGCACGTATACTGTTTTGTCAGCAGAATACTCCTAATTCACTCACCTGCCCTGAGTTGGACCCTGAGTGTAACAATGGGGAAGGCGTGGCGGCGATGGCACGCCCCCCTGGGGAATTCAGGGGACAGTTTCATTAGTTCTTTATAGTTACATGCGTGTATACATCGTACGCATGTAACATCACACTTAAAAATCCATGCTGAATGTTTAAATCAAGATGCATCTTTTTCAACTGTCTAAAACATCGACAAAATGCTTTTGACGTTCATATCTAACACTTCTATGCGCAAATAACAGATAATTATTCTTTACTGGTAATAAAACGGATTCTGAAGTACTCATAGAAATTGATTGCATTGATTTGTTGATCCATATCTTAATATCATGAACCCCTTTCGCTATAGAATGAGCGGGTCAAACTCATACACGTTACGTTCTTTCCAGTTTTGAGTTTTGAAACCGGGGCATACACGGCTTCATTTCCGTACAAGTATTCTTCAAGTCTAAACTGCTAGCCAAACCTAATTTAGCTGCCGAGTCCCCAACTGCGAAGAGGACGACAGGGACTCGGCAACTAAATTAGGTTAGGATAACAGGTTTCTTTAAGAATGCCTTTAGGCGGTACCTAACATCCATTTGTCAGTGCAGAGACAGAGAAGCGATAAAGATAGGAGTTCACTGATTGTCAAGAAATTCAGGGTAGCTGGGCCCGAAAGCTGAAAGTAAAGCTTACAAAAATACCACCAAGGTTGTGCTTGTCCCGTTTGTTTGAGTTTTCAAAACCCGTGTCATATAATTTGGAAACCGCACACAAAAGGGATTTCTACTAACGTCCGACCGCTTTTTGAAACTATTCAGTCGTATCCAGTGATGGAATTACGGAGAGATGCCAATATGACATGCTCTATTGTTAACTATCTTGGACACATACACTGGTAGACTGAGAACTAATACCATAGCTTAACGAAGAGTCCTAAACAATAGATGGTGTACCACTAAAGCTTTTCGTGTCATTGAAAAGGAAAAACAGAATTGTTTACGAAAAGTGTCCTGTATGATTATATCAAACCACCTTGTAATCTTGTGGACGATTTGTAATATTATCATTTGTCGGGTGTACGTATAAGAATTTCATGTAATTCAGGTATGTGCCCGTAGAAATTACAGCGGAAGTGTTTGTTGTGTTACGCTAGTCCAACTCTTTTGCCCAAAGCTTTTCCAAGTAATGCCAGAATATCTCATGCAAACAAACAGTACAAAGCTCTTTCTGCCCCTGAAGCATAACGAAGTATGGGCACGGTGTGGGGGATCACAATGACTCTTCAGTGGACTACATCGGTGAATTAGCTCGATTTACTTTCAAAACAGATATGATAAGGGGGCTATTCTGTTTCTCTTGCCTCGACAGTAAGTAACACATACTTGAATTCGCCCATCCATACCTTTTCTGACCTTAATGACTTTATTCCATGAAAATATACAATCAAATGTACAGGTGCAACCATGTTACAATTGGTTGTTTATCTCGATTTTAAGAGCAAACTCATTTAAAAGTACGTACTAGTTAAACGTTACTTTAAAAGATGATAGTAATAGAAAAGTCATATTCTATGTACTGTCAGAACTGTTCGATCAAGGAGTTACCTGAGAGCACGGCAGTTGTTATTTCTAATTCTTACGCTTTTTCGAATTGAATGTAGCTTCGAGCTTGTCAAATAGTAATGCATGAGGACAAGTGTTAACATTTGATGCGCTCCTGTACTCATAATACTAGCGCGTTTGTAAGATTCCACTTAACTTGATAAAATATTCAACAAACGTTAACTTTCTATTACCATATTCCAATATCCATCTAAAACAATATATACAACCTTCAACACAGGTATAAACCCCCTTTACTGAAGTTACGTAAAAGGTGGAGTGAAAGAGGTGCATTGAGGTATTTCGACTCGCTCAGTGAGCGTTCTATGATGTGTCATATTATAAGGTTTGCCAACTAGATTAAATGTCGTGTTTACTTTTACGATCTGCTATCTGTGACTGAGGTCGGGTCCAGTCGTCCCCAGTCCTTGTGAACCTTCATACTCGGGGTTTTGTGTTCCTATAATGGACAGAACCAAGACGTTAATTGTTTGTTTGATTAAGTAATTACTTGTCCAGTAACATATCAACCAACATTCAAACCTACGTCACGTCGTCATCACTTCGACTGGAATGTACTATAAAGTATACATCTGATTCCATTTATGAATGCATATCTATCACTATATTGTATTGTATTTTATTTTATCAAATAATAAAGTTAGATTAATACACGAGTATGAATAGTTTGTAGTTGTTAACAATCCATGTTATTTGCTATACATTGTATCTGGACAATTATTGTGCAATCAACTTTGACTATCTTATAATAGTTATATGGTGAAAAGTTTGAGATGTTTGGCAATACAAGTATCCATGACATAACTTGTTGCATATGTGTACATACCCCCGGAGGTCTCTGATGTCCAGACGGAACATTTCTTGTCATCCACGTCGTTTGTGCCCTCTAGGTGCCTCGTACTGTACCCCTGTGTGCTACATTTCCATGGATGAAATCATGATATCAACGCGATAGGTAAAAGTAAAGAGACATTTCAAATAGTCTACATCAATATATTACGAAAGGTAGATAGAACACGTCACTATCAAGTTGATTAACATAATCTCACATTATTACATACATTATATCATATCATATCATATCATATCACATATTACCATATCATATCATATCATATCTTATCATATCTTATCATATCAGTGCTGTTAATTACCTTGCCCGCGGCACAGGAGATCCTGTTCTTTTCCAGCGCCGTATAGCGTAGAGTACGCAGGTCAGAGTCACCAACAGACCCAGGGCGATGATTAATATGGACACAATCCCTATAGCTGGGAACAAAAAAGAACAAAAAGTAATAAACCAGGTTTCATTAGAGTCAGACCCTCGTATGAAAGATGACGTTTTGCAAAATCTTCTGATGAAAACCTTCTGATGAAACTACCCTTGTTTAAGTAAACGTTTGGGAATATGGACGGTATGAGCAAAGGGTATGGTGTACTTAATGTTAATACTAAGCCCTACCGCACCGAAACAAGTGAGAAATATAAAACAATATATACTTCTTCTGTCGCATCTTGCACCTGCATAGTGAATAAAGGGCTCGTAGATGCACCTGAAATTACAAAGAAAAACTGAATGAAAACGTTCACATCGAATTGTATGAAATTATCAGAATTAAGCGACGATTTAGAGAAAATATTTAACTGGTGTTGCTAATACATTTTCCTTAGAATAAAACTGGCTACTATCAAGCAGCGATTGAAGTAAAAGTTAAGTTTGTAAACATACTTGCACAATAATTTCTCGGACCCGTCGTCCTGACATGTTCCACCGTTGGTACAGTAATGCGGGTTGGCGTCACAGAAGGGGAAGCAGTGATGTCCCAGACGCACACACTTCACGTCTCTGGACTCTGTCGTTGCTGTTAAAGCACCTGTGATGATAAACGAGAAATCGGAGATTTCAGACTTCCGGGAAGTGTTTGGGGTTTCCTGAATGTACATGTACATGTACTAGAACTGTGGATGGGTTGTATGATGTAATTAATCGGGTATTACAGTACTAGTACTTCCTGAATTCCTCCACCCACTTACTCCCACCTTAGGCCTGCGTTCTAGTTCACCTTTCGGCTTGACCTTCCTATAAATCACCTGTTAAAATCACCCCACTTTCTTGACAGACAGACAGACAGACAGACAGACATACAAACCCACAACTCAGCCACACAAAACAGTATTTCCGTACCCAAAAGTAAGAGAAAAGAAATCACAAAACAAAACACAACACAAAGACTACCAAAATCTACTAACTGTATTAAATGTTTCTAATCGATGGCGACCCGACTCTACTCGAATATGAACTCACCCGTATCTGATATATAAGTCACGTTGGCCACCTCCAGCTCCCCCAGTCTCCCATTTTTGTCGTCGATGTACTGTTTCAGTCTGGCGACTGCCCGAAGTTTCATGATCCCCAGAAGACTGATCCTAAATACTACGTTGATGTCAATTATGGCATTGTCTGGGCTGAAAAAAAAAAGATCATTTGAAGGTCATAGTTTGTGAGTTCAGCAGTCGTTTTAGGCAACAATAATGATGTAAACGTTTGTAATTTCCGCTCAGGATAATTCAACAAAGTACAAACTTACAAAATGTTGTTATAAAACACATAAGATACAGTAATACAGTGGAATTCAGCAAAGAGGTGTTGATCATCATGTAGATCTTACCTGACTATCAAAACGTCGAGACGTAGAAAACTGTGATCTACACTGTACGCCTTAGATGCCTAGAAAATGGCAAATGCAAAATACCATGGGTTAGAAACAATGTGCTTTTATTGGACCATCAACATATTGTATATTTAATCTCCAAGCAGAACTTCAGGGGCAAAATCGTTACGGTTTCTGGACCGCAGTGACCGGAGCCCCAGTGGCCTTAATCTGGTCAGACTGCTCCGAAACGTCAGCAACTTTGGTTGGTTGTACATGTTGTTCGGGGGAAGGCTCTGAATGTGTGACATGTGATTTCTATATAGTGTAACATATTCTGAAATTAATTGTCATGCGATACACTGAAAAATTAATTTAATGTATCACGTATCAAGTAGAGTGGGTCTTTATACTAGGCTATAGTCCTCATTTTGTGCATGCATATGATTGGGTGATGAGTTAAAAAGCATACACAAACACAGCAAAACGACGTATTATACATAGTCGTCCTAATAAGAAAATGAAAGGATGCAAAAAGGTAATTAAAAATAATAAAGCATACCTCTGATCTAACATTTGTCACAAATTCCAGGAACGTTGGTGACGTGGTATCACTAAGATGAGCTGGTAACGACTGTTGAGCCAGTTTGAGTTGAATGAACACGGAATACGGACTGTGTGAGTACTGCCGACCGGAAACACCACTCGACTTTGATGACGTAGAATCCACGGGAGATCCGGAAGTGACGTCGTCATTGGACGACCCATTTGGAAATGAGGCTGCTGTGACATGCGCAGATGGTACAGAGGAACAGCCCAAGGCTGGCAGAATGATAAAATATCAACGTAAGATAGGAGTGGACCATATCAATTTTATTACTAGGCTCTCTATTATTGGAGGGAGGGTGCACAAACTTATGCAGAAGGTAACTTAGAGATACTGGCTTCAAACAGGTAAAAAAAAGGGAATATGACTGTCCAATCTAGGTTTTATTTTGAATTGAACAAACATGAACCAGAGTTAATGGTATAATATTGCGCACAGAAAATAATTTTAAAAGCATGACAGAACTGAGGTCAGCACAGCACTTTTCATTTACAGATGCAAGCTGGAGATAGAACCGCCTCTCCCGTAAAAGTAACGTACGCATTATTTCACCACGCACGATTCAATCGTGTGATTCTAGGGATATCGATAGAAACATGGTATGTTTTTTTTTCAACTTTACTGGCAGGAAAAACGACAACATATATGGCGCCAGAGGTCAAATTCCTAGTGTCCACAGTAGATTGTCCACATTGTATTCCTGCTGTGGGAAGCGAAAATAGGTATGCAAATTACTTGTAGGTATCTTGGCAAGACGTCCTATGCGATCTGATTTACCAAATGCACCATGCGTACACAACCATGACAGTATCATACTAAAGAAAGCTGGTACACAGTGGTTCGGATTTCAGCGTGCCGTCTTGTGGTGCCTTGCACCGACCGATACTCACCTTGATAAGGTAAATACCACCTGAGGGTGATGCAACACATGTCTCTTTGTTTAGAGCACCTAACAATGGATAGCGTGAGAGGAGGGGCATTTTGTCTGACCGTCAGTGTCCCAGTTAGATCTCCGAGCAAATATCTACATTTTTATCTAAAAAAATTTGAGCCTTTTAGCGTCACCGGGAATTTTCAGTTTTTTGTGCATGCACGAAACGTGCGAAAGAACTATGAATCTAAGTTAGCTATTCGTTAGTGTCAACATGCCTGAAGTGCATCCATTGTAGTTCCGTTCCATTTCTTTGTGACAAAAGACAGTCAAATTGCAGCATACCTGTGAAGAGTACCCAAATAGATAGGTCGGAGTCCCGCATGGCTGCCGTTTGGTGTCACTTGTAGCTTACGTGAGATTTATGGAGCTGCAGGATCCCCGCTGTCTGGGGAGGTAAAAGGATTAGAAGAAATGCCCGGATTTGTTCCGGGTCAAGGAGCTAGATGGCACTGTTGACCAAATATGGTGTCGTTTGTTGTAGAAAAAAACCGGTAGTACCTGAACTGACTCCTAGAGGTCGTTCATATCAGTCACATTAGAGAAGTTCATGGAAAAAGGAAACAGTCTTCATTTTATGACTGGCTCGAGCAGTCTTTACGGTGCAATTACAAACTGTGTACGTGAATTCAGTCTTGATTATGTAGACATATGTCCAACCTTACGGAAAACATTGGTAAATGTTCTCTTAGTGGAAATTGTATTGATCTAAGTTGTTATACTCTTTCTTCACCTGCCTCTATAATATCACACAGTTAGGCAACAAGTCAGTGTACGAGGTGCGTGCAGGACTGTCATCTCTACTTGGCTGTGTTTTCACCTCTATTATAGTATTAACGTCTACTCAATCATGTTGGAACGTTCTTTGTTCAGACGAGTTGACAGAAGATGATTAACCGGTCGTCTCTACTGGCCCAAGGCATCCTTGATAGCTGGCCGCAACATGACTCTAATCAGTTTTAGCTCACTAATCCGCAATACGTCAATCATCAATTGAAAGCAGACCTCAACTTTGCACTTTGACATGCGGTTTGTTTACGTTTGTGGTTTGCTCAAATTAGGTTATAATTGCATACCACAGTTAGTCGTGCATGATTCAGTTGTCTTCTTACCGTTCTGTCACAGCTTGCACGGCGAGAGGGCACGTTTAACGGTATCCCTAGTAAAGTTTGCTGCGTTTTCGAACTGAAGATGTTTCTATCGTGGAAATCTACAGCATATGGAAGAAGTATTATTGTAGGAATTTGTAAGCGAAATGTATGTAAGTTACCGTGGACATCAGATCTCATATCAGTCATCCAGGTACTAATAATGATGACACCATAGGATGTCTTGCAGTTTTTATTGAGTATCCCCTACAGTGCAGTGGTATCAACTTTCTGCATATCAGAGCTTAATCGTAGCCTGTGTTACACAATCTCTCGCAGAGGCTGATTGGGCACTCTGTCTCGAGAGCTTGTGACCATACACCTCTAACTCGAGAGATCCATTCCCAGAACTACCCATAGGATCTCAGGATTCTTTGTCACCATAGAAACCAGTCACAGCCTCCGGCACCATGGTAACAGACAGTTCTCACTCAGCCTGACATAGTAAGTTAGCTGGTATATATGCATAGATCAACAGGAAAGATATTCCCTGACTTAGAGATGACGGCCATAAAGCTTCTAGGGTTCTGCCCGGCGAAAGTGCATTCTAATCAGGCAAAGTGTAGTCGTAGATCTAGATCCTGTCCTCATTTCTCGGAATTTGGTTTCTTCCTTTCCTTTCCTTTCCTTTCCTTTCCTTTCCTATCCTTTCCTTTCCTATCCTTTCCTTTCCTATCCTATCCTATCCTTTCCTTTCCTATGTATAATTTGGAATCAGTCCTCACGACTGGTGGCGAACAGGTCGAGTTCACACAAGAACGCACGCTTGGAGCTACACTCTCCCAGCAGCCACTTGTACCCGTGCAGACGGCTCACGTAGGCACAGTCGTTGTCCGGAGTGTTGGAGGACCGCATGTACCAGCTGTTGACGCTGTACGGCACTCCGTCGCTCCACATCAGCTTCTCTTCCGTCTCCTGGTCACTCAGGCCGATCCACACGGTGCTCTGCCGAGTCTTGCGAAATCTGATCTAATGAAAAGATTGTAAAAAAAAGACTAACTAATGGTTTATGTTGCATCGTATATTTCCAGATGTCTTTTCAGGATGAAATGGTAATACGTATGGCTTAGTCGTTGATTAACTCTTTGTGTACGAGCCTCTCTCTCACTCTCTCTCTGTCCCTCCCTATGTGCATGTGTTTTGGTGTATTTGCGTGTATGTGATAGCCCCTGTGTCTGTGTGCTATTTTCAGTGGCAATATGTCAACATGTTTTGTTTGTGCTCACCAGTACTTGATCTCGACTCTTCTTGTCCCTTGTAGTGACCAGTCGCCCTCCCTCGGCTCGGCAGGTGTCGGTAGCCTGTCTGTACGTTGTGGGTCTTTTCTCGAAACGGTAACAGAGAAACCGCCTATCGCGCCCGTGAGCTCGAGGTTTGCTATAGCCTTTTGGACACACCACCTTTCCTGCCGTGTACATGAATACGGTTTATGATCGCAATGATGTATACAAATCGTGGGGCATATAAAAATTCCACTAAATACATTCTGCTGGCTGAACAAGCATCAATTTCCACACACACACACACACACACACACACACACACACACACACACACACACACACACACACACACACACAC